GGCAACCGAGAGCGGTCCGCTCAATCGCCGTCATTCCATGCGGTATGTGGGCCAGATGATCATGCGTGATGTGGGCCACATCCGGGCCAGAAAGATTTTGCTATCTGGGATATGTCTGAGAGTCTGCTGTAGAAAGGCCCAATCCACTCTGTCAAACGCCTTCTCAGCATCAAAGCTGAGAAGCATTGATGGGGTGTTCCTTTTTTGTGCTATTATCTGGAGATTTAAGGCTCTTCTGACATTATCCGTTCCTTGTCTCTGTGCAATGAAACCAGTCTGGTCAGGTTTTACAAGTTTTCTTATGTGGTTTTGAATTCTGTTTGCAATGATGGCCGTAAGTATTTTCAGATCAACACATAGAAGGCTGATGGGACGATAAGAGGTGCAGAGTGTTGGATCTTTGCCCTCTTTATGGCTTCAGACCATGACCGGGGGGGAACACCTTCTGAGAGCGCGTAATTGTAGACCTTATGCAGAATTGGAGTCAGCTCCTTTTCAAACACTCTGTAATATTCTCCAGGGAGTCCATCCACTCCTGGAGATTTATTATTTTTAAGTTTCATAATGCTTTTTTTAATTTCTTCTTTTGTAATTGGGCTTGTTATTTGGTCAGCTTCCTCCTCGGTCAGTTTACTAAGATTAATTGATTTAAGCAGATCTTCAATCTTTTCCATCTTATTTGGACAGTCCTCTCCCCTATATAACTCCTGGTAATAGCTAGCAAATGCCTTTGTAATATCCTTCGGCTGCTGCATCATATCCCCAGATTTTGGGCATTTTATTTTATGCACCAGGCGACTAGCCCTATTACCAAATTCATAATATTTTTGTTTTATGAATCTTAGCTGCCCCTCTGCTTTGTAGGTTAACAAGTTGTTCAGTTGTTGTCTAGTCTCTTTTAGTTTGTCCAGAAAGTCATCCTTCCGAGTTGTCTGAAATTCTCTTTCCAATGCTTTGATTTTGTTTTCTAATTCTAATTGTTCTGCAATTCTCTCTTTTTTTAGTCTAGAACAAATTGCAATAATATTGCCCCTTAGGACACATTTGGCTCCCTCCCATAACACTGTTGGAGAGAGACACCCCATCCTTATCATTAAATTCAAAATAGTCAATGATGCTTTTTTGTAACTCTTGTTTAACTATTTCTTTATTTAATATAGATACATTGGCTCTCCAATATTTAAAATTATTATTTGGGCTCATCTTTAATTCCAAACATACTGGAGCATGGTCCGAGATGGTGATTGCTTCTATATGACATTCAGTGGCTCTAAAGGAGTCTGCTCCCGACATCAGGAACATATCCAACCTTGAATGGGTGCAGTGAACCTGTGAGAAAAAGGTAAAATCTCTCTCCTTGCGATGTATGCTGTGTCAAACATCTACCAAGCCTAACTCCCCCATCAGTGTTAAAAGAGCCAAAGATTTTTGGGATTTAAAACCTGAACAAGCAGGGAGCCTATCAACAGCTGCCCTCAAAACACAATTAAAATCCCCTCCAATCAGAACAATCCCTTCTGCTTTATCTGCTATCAATGATGCCATCTTCTTAAAAAAATCTGGATTGTCCTCGTTTGGAGCATATAAATTAAGCAAAGTTATTTTAATGCCCCCTACAGTATACTACCAATTACCATCACATACCTCCCCTCTTTATCACAGGAATTTTTCTCATGAGAAAAAT